TGTTGTGCATTTTACAGAACCATAACACTAATGTAAAATACTAAATTTAACGAAATTAATGAAAAACAATTGTTTTTATGGAATTCGACCGTGTTATTTATTTTCGCAACGACCAACGATTACTATTTTCTGTTGCAGACCATAACTATACATACTATAACTATACATACTATAACATACTATTCAGTATCGTAATATTATCGAATAGAAAATGGAAAACCAACAAAAATTAATAATGAGCTTATTATAATAGTCTGTCCGTCATAAATCATCAATATTAGACACAGACACCTCGAGAAGCTAGAACAAACAAATTTATATTTCTCGAGGTACAATGAACGTGTAAAATTTTTAGTTTTTTTTCTCAGAAATCAAGTACAACGCAACAAAAAAAATGCTTCACTTCAACTATTGCGTGCGCAAATGTAAGGTACACATATAATATTGTGCGTTTATAAGTTAAGGGGTGGTTAAAGGGTTAATTTGTGGTTTCGGCGATAACGACAACGATGACGATGACGCCTACCTACGTCCACCAACTGAGCACTATGGCTCTAAACGCGATGGGCCGAGAGTGATAGATGTTTTGCCCACATAGGTACCAGGCGGAATCGTACAAAGTGCTAGGAGACGGAGGTAGGAGTCTGCGTACCGTTCGTAGTATGTCCGCGCAGGAGGTGGTGTTAGGGAGAGGAATACGGTTACCAGGTCCAAGTATCAGGTGGGTGGAAAGGGCGGGGGTGAAATCGCAGTCTCAACGTGAAACTTGTAAAAGTTACGATACCCACGCTGGTGTACTTGTACACATACAGTGTTTGAAAATATCATAAAACCGTGAAACATCTCAGTGAAATATTTCGTGAAATTTTGCAGTAACGAGGAATATTTCAGATTTTCGGAAAATAATTGATATTTTTTTTTTTTTTTATAAGTTTTTAATTTAACGAATATTTGTCCGGTTAACGATCGACACAATGCAATTATTTTTATACCGGTTTAATATAAAAAGAACACAATACGTTACTCGTATATTATATTATGCGATACATTATAGAACAGCGGTTCTTAACCATAAGGTCGCGACCCAATTTCGGGTCGCCAATAATTTTAAATGGGTCGGATGAAAATTTAAAACGTTAGTATAATATTTTTATTTTTAAGTCTTATAAATAATAAATGAAACCTCATGTACGTTGGTTATCATGGAGAAAAAATTTTAACGAGATTTTTTGAATTAAGAACTGAAATAGAAGTATTTTTAAGAGAAAAAAATTCACTGTTATCCATCCATTTTCAAGATATAATTTGGTTGACAAAAGTTGCGAGTCTATCAGATATTTTTTTCGTTATTAAATGAGTTAAATTTAAGTATGCAAAGGCCATTAACTAATATTTTTACACGTTGTAATAAAGATATTAACTACAATCAAAACCAAATCAAGAAACAAGCTTGATGTCGAACCCACGATGAGTATTTCACTTACTAACTCCATAGAAGAACTCTAAATTGATTCATTGGTAAAGCAACATCAAGACCAAGAAAGTCATTAAATTAAAAATTATTTAAAAAACAATACAATATTATTAAAAGAAATGTTTATTTTTAAATATAATGTAATTAATATTATGACTTGTTATGAATACAAGTAATATGAGTAAAAAATGTTATTCAATTAAGAGTACCAAATAGTTATTTTTTATTCTGCCATTGAATATTATTTATTAAAAGGTCACAGGAAAAATTTGGTAAATATCTTGGGTCGCCACTACACAAAGGTTAAGAACCGATGTTATAGAAGATGATCAGATTTTAAATAGGAAGTTACAGTAGGTTATATAAACGTGTTCGCTTGTAAAGAGTTATAATGATTCATAAAACGACCAAATGTTTAATAAATTGTTGACTACAGAACAAAATTATTGTAATAATAATAATAATAATAATAATAATGTTAATAATAACAATAATAATATACCATTGAAATCTGAAAGTGTTTGTCGTTTACTCCCTATTAATTTTTAGATTCAATTTACACTCAATTTACACAACGAAATAAAAGTATTGATAAATTTAAATTTAGGAGATTAATAATAGTTACAGTCAACTCGTGATATAAGAAATTTCAAGGGACCGAACAAAGAGTTCACTATATCAAAAGTTGGTTACATCAAAATCATAAATCAACAAAATTTGTTTAAACGAGATTTAAAAGGAAATTTAGATTTTATTAGATACATATATAATATATATTATATACATACATAAGTTATTATTTATTATTTAATTAAAATTTATATTTTGTTTATTATGTACATTAGGGTGACCCTTAGTTATAGGTGAAGAAAAAAAAATATTTTTAATTTTTCACTCCCTCATTTCACTTGATAAATTTGTTCATGATTACTAACCCCCTTCACGTACCACAGTGGAGTTGAAAAGTTGCAAAATATTGTTAGTTTATCGTTTTTTTAATATAATCAATAAACTATTGAACTTATCGTAAAAATATACATAACTTAAACTATAGATATTTATATTTTTAATAAAAAACATGTCTATACAATTTTCATATATCTATTATTTTATATGAAAAATTATAAAATATCGAATATTTTATTTATTTAAAAAAATATAACTTTTTTAAGGTTTTTTAAGTATATCGAAATTACGGTTGATGATACGATAACATTTTCCAGGTAATAATGATAAAAAATTAAATTTTTTATAAAAAAGGTATTAAACAATGAACTCCGTAAAAATAAGTTTAATTTATATTTAACAGAAGTGTATCTTATAAATTATGAGATGAAAATTATCTTATAGCCATAATAATAGTCGAAAATTATTCGAAAAAATTAATAATATCAAGTTCCAAAATCATAAAAATTAAAATTCATTACATTGCAAGAGTTTTGACTAAAAAACTTCGTTATATGGAGGGGACAAAAATACATTTAATTCTACGTTATATCACGAGATTATCTATAGAACGACAGTTTTATTCGTTATATAAAGATTTGCGATACATCGAACTTCGTTATACTGCGAGTTGACTGTATTAAGGAATCGCGTTTTCTTCTGTATACAGTTAAGATCAAGTATCGGATGAATTATGTATAATCAGAGAATGTTATGATGGGCCCGAATCTTAAATATTGTAGTTGTGTCAACAAAACATTCGATATTCCACGGTTTTTGAATTATGTATTTCACTAAAGTAATAATTTTATTGTGATGTATTTCAATTGAAATATTTAACATCTCAAACACTATAAATATAATTTAATATAAACAATAGTAATCAGTGTCGGTGTGACTCATGAACGGGCCCCGTACAAAAAATGTATGATGGGCCCTTTAACAACATAACATTGGAATAAGATTCAATAAATACCTACGAAAAAGGTTTTTTCTCGCTAAGCACAAAATCTTCTACAAATTTTAATTTAGTTTTTATATTTTTTAAAAGCAAATATTATCGAATTATCATTGTTTTCGTGTATATAATCGTTAAACAATTATCTCAATTTTTTATAGTATTTATATTTGTTCGATTTTGATCAAGAGAACAAAAATGTATAAATTAATCCAGTTCTATTAAATCACGTCAACAATACTTCAAAATTAAGATAAGAATAACATAATTTTAATTTAATTCCGGAAAATAATTATAATGAGTTTTCATGTTAGCGTGGTGGCTTTGATCCCAGAGGTGAATTTAGGAGAGGTTCAAAAGGTCAAATGACCCACAGTTAATATTTGTTGAAAAATTGTCCTTTTTGAAGACTACCTATATTTTTTAAACGTGCCGACTGTAAGTTAAAGTTAAAACTAAACCAGCAAATCCTTCAGTTCCACCCCCCCACCCACAAATAATGCCACTGGTTTAAATGTATAGTAAAATAAAACATATATTTATCAGACCCAACGTAAGATTCCATAAAATAAGATAAATGTTTACAATGATAAGTATGAATAACTTAAAAAAAAAATTGTATATGATAATATTGTTTTTTTTTTTTACAAAAAATACATTTATAATACACTTTCGGCTCAAAAAAGTGGCCTCTTGAAATAGCCTGACCCACAGTTCTCTAACCACCCCTGTTTGGGTCCTATTTCAAGAATGAATCTCAGGGCCCCCGGCGTTTGCCGGGTATCCGAGTGGGCCAGACCGACACTGGTGGTAATGTTACAATAACGTGTGATTTCGAACTTTTAAGAGGAGGGTAGGGATTTTTTAAGGCGCGATCCGTTACGGTCGCTAAATCGTGAAATCCTGATACAAGGAACACTTACGGTCGTGGTGCTGGTGACGGCGACGACGGCGGACGACACATTTTCCAGTCCGCAGACGGTGTTCAGCTAGTCCACAAGCGTTCGCGGCGATTGGCCGAGGACCCGCGACGACGCTCGTTTTTTCGGACGATTTTTTTAGTTACCCGCGCGCCCTCGTCTCGTTCCGGGAGAGTGAACGGAACGAATCGGTGGCGATCGAGGATGAGGGGGCGATGAGCAATATTATAATACCGATTGTGTGGCACAGACGAGAGCGAGCGGGAGAGGAATTCGCGAGAGAGTGAAAAAAAAAGTGATCGACGCGGGAAAACCAGCGCGTAAACGGGAAAGAAAAAAACAAGCTCGTAACGAGATTGGCGCGGAGTTTCGCGGTGTCGACACCACGGGCGGAGACGTGCACGCTCGCCGTATTTCCACGGCCGACTGCCGGCAGCCGCCGCCCGACCGTCGACGCTCGTCGAACACCGCGTTGCCCCGGTACCGCCGCGAGACGACTGTGCGCTCGCCACCGCCGTCGTCGCCGCTGCCTCCGCAGCCGCCGACACCGCCGGTTAATATACCGCCGCTGTACGGCTGCAGCGACCGCGACAACAATACCAATGATAATGATAATAATAATAATAATAATAATAATAATAATAATAATAATAATAAAAACTACCGTACTGACCGCGGTAACGGACGACGCGTGTATACTTACATGGTCGTCGTGGTCGTGGTCGGAACCTGCTTACGACGGGGATCTTCTGCCGCAGCGGTTACGTCTCACCTGCCTGGGCTTGGGTCTCAATAACCAGAGGAAAAACACGATTATCAGGATCAATATGGGATACGTAAGGCCAGTAGGCATGATCCACGACTCTTGGGAGCTGATTCGCACTGAACGCGGCGCTGGCCTTGGTGCGCCCTGGACTTAGCTGCGGCGCAGGGACGGTACAGGAACCGGTGCCGGTACCGGACGACGACGGTGAACCCGGTGATGTGGTGGAACGGAATGCGCGACAGGGCCAGTAACAGGGACGCGTAGCCTGTAAAACGAACGCGCATAAATGTACGTTGGTTGATTACGCGGTGTTCGTCGCGACAGGTGGTACTTGCCGGACCGAATACGTGGGTGGAGGTATCGGGGACGAAAGTGATTTCGGGCGCGGACGAGAAAATGTTACGAAAAAACGTATCGGTACATATGGTATTGGTACGTATGGTATTGCAATGTTCGATGTGAATACGGTGATGGGGAAACGAGTGCGAGACGGTGAACGCAATAGCAATGGTTCAACGAGCGCGGAACTGGAGGACTTGGACGTAGTCGTGTCGACCGACTGAGCCCGAGCGCCACCGCCTCCCGCAGGGGCGGTCGCGACTCGCCCGGTGCCGCAATGCGCAAGCGCGGCGCCGCCTACCGGCCTTCCGGTGGCGGGCGATCGTGCGTCAAAGCCCCCGGCCGACGAGAGAAACACCCCGCGAACATAATACACCGCGGCATTAATAGTAACGGTGTGAAATTTTTATTTAAAAACGGAACACGTCGTTTCGGCTGGGCCGGGGTTCACCGATACGGGGAGGAACGCCGAGGACGGGGCGACGGTGCCGTAGAAACTTTTCTACGACCGCAGGACAACGATTTCTCGACCCGCCCGTTCACGAATTTATCGACATTTGTCGGTCCGAAGCGACGTGGCCCCAAAAACGGTCCCGACCGTAACACGTAGGAGGGTCGGGGCATATGTGGGCGAGCAAAAAAGTACGAAAAGTTTTTCAGCTCGGCGGTGTTCGTCCCGAAAAAATTGCGGTTTTCCTCTACCGTTTGAAACGATCAACCGCGAAAACTACAGACGATTTGTTTCTCGCAATCAAAGCTCTTATGCGATGCGTACACATGGTTTTCAAACAAGTTATATTATTACTACCTATCGTGATGATATCGAACTAAAATCGCGATTTTCAGTTTCAGTGAAATACATTAAAATAAACTAAGCACGCAACAAAAATTATTTCTATAAAAATATGCATGTTTCGAGATTCAAAGTTTTTCGAACAACCATATAATGACCGAAAGCGATTGCGAACAAAACGAATTTAAAATGTTTTTTGATTTCAAGAACGATCGAAATACCTAAACGTTATCGACAAAGAGTAAGTACACAAGACGATTTTAAAACATTATTCTCGTCCGAAAAATGACAACGAGAAACGAAAAAAACACCTAAATACGAAAATTTAGCATATGTAAGTAATAAGTATAATATCAGTTCAAATAAATTTACTGTAACGATCATGTAACGATTATATAAAAAATAATGTATGTTAATGGCGCACTCGTAATCAAACTAATAACGAAGGCGATAAAATATTATCGTAGTTTATCTTAAATCGCATAAATTCAAATTAACTTTTCAACATAAATCGTATTATTTTACTAAAATAAATCTCGGAAATAGGCAAACAAATATTGAAATCGAGTAAAACATAATGTGAATACGGATCCCGCAAAGTACAAGTATTAGTCGCTCGCCGATTTATATCGGCGAAAAGATGTAAAGAAAAAATGTAATTGCGGCAGGTGAAACTAGCAAAAAATAAAATGTTGCATTTCCTTTTTGAATCCTAGCTTCTACGATTTTAACTATACTTTGGTAAAACAAACTCATGGACCAGATTTGACCAATAATTTATCACAAAAAAATTAAATAACAGATTTCTTTAATTACATATCATATTATATATTAAAAAATGTCAAAATAAATGTATAATGAATATTAAACACAAATGTATGAAATAAAATTGTTCACCTCTCTATAATTCGAATTATTTATTTTTTTCCCTCGATTATTCTAACACTTGGTAAATCAAAAACCACTATAATACAGTGGTATATTATATCGAATTTTTAGTAAAGTCCCCTGAATTTCAAACTATTTTATGATTATTATATATCTATAATACCCATAAACAAATTCTAGAGTATGTTTATTTCACTATTAATATATTTTAATAATTTTACAGAATTTCTATCGAAATAGAATTTCGTAACGTTATAATTAATTATATATTTTGTAGAACATTTTCAACACGTATACAGTATAGGATTAAAGGTTAGGTTAGGATTAAAGGAACAATCATTATTAAAATATACAAATCGTACAATAAATAATATTTTCACAAAATTAAAACATTCATGGTCGATATCTAGTAATATTATATTTTTTTTTCTAACATTCCTTGGGGTAATATATTTATTCTATCAATAAAGAGGAAATTCGAATTTTAATGTTTCTAATTGTTTTGAATTATAAAACATTTCATTCGAACACGTACACATACAAATATAAATAATAATAATAATGTTATTTAAATATTATATTTATATAAAAAATAACTTAATATAAAATCAATATATATATTAATATATAATATATATAATTAAATTAACCAGTAATTCATGATGTAATATTATATTATAAATAATATTAAAATACCACGGATGAAATAAATTACAAATATTTCAGTATTTTCATATTAAATATGATGATGATGGACTAATTAGCCTTTTTTTTTTTTTTTTTTTTTTTTTTAATGAATTGTTATTAAATCGCGATTTAGAATTAAAAAAATAATAACAATTTTTTTAAAAAAAAGAAATTTCATCCATGTGGAATAATAAATTATTTATAGTAATATATTAAAAAATAAAATTAGTAAATGGTTAATATCCGTAAATCAATATATACTAATAAATAGCTTATAAATATAAAAAAATAAATACTAAACCTAAAATATAATTATATTTGTAATGTTCAACAGATTTCGAATTAAAAATTTTCAAAGTCAATAAAATCATGACTGAATATAAAAATTAAAGGAATTAACACATTGAGAAAATTTAGTTGTTTTACATGGAGATAATTAATTTTAATAGGAAAGATTATTTAAAATCAGTTTTTATTATAATAAGTATTACAAATATAATATTACTCTAGACTAAGCATTTATTAATTTTTTTCTACACATAGCCTATTTTTGCTTTATATTTTAATAATATTTAACTGTGTTCTAATATTTACAGTTAAAGTGAATTATTAAATAAACTATTTTTTTATATTTTTTATTTTTTATAGATTGAAAAATAAGTTAAAAATAAAATATTATTTTATAGTTTTTTAAAATTATGTTAAAGGGAGTAGTACGGACAATGGTATTAAATATCGATGCGCTCGTGGACAAGAAATTAAAAAATAATTACTGAATATAATATTTTAAATTGCTTGTGAATTTTTTAGTTTTGAAAAAAAAACTTTAAGTTAACAAAATTTAAAGTTGAAAAAAAAACCAACGATCATAATGGAAAATTTGAATTTGAAATCGTGTCCGCGAGCAATGCTGATAATTATTGAACAACAAAAAAAACCAAATCAAAGCAGCCAATGCCTGATCTTACCTCTGCGGAGTGCTGTTTTGCAGTTACGAAACCGTTGCCTGGTGCGTTGAAACAGTAAATGCGAGTAAGGGACTGACCCGAACGGTATTCTGAACCCATCGAGAAGAACACGGCAGCGCACATGCGAACGAAACGCACTCAAATCGCACTGCTCGTGTTTTTAAGTATTTATATATACGTATATGTATACACATTTATATTTATGTTGTGTGCGTACCGAGAACTGAAAACCTAATCGGGGATGATGACGACGTCCGACGAGACGACGACAAGAATACGATTTGAATATTTTATTTGATTAAACGTTTTTCGGTGTACCTACACGAGAGATACACGGTACATAACATTTGTTGCGCGCGAAGTGCATATTATGCACTATATTATAATACGGTCCCGACCGAAATGATAAAAAAAATAATAATAATAGTAAAAAAAAAAAAAAACGGTATAACCGTTCGTTATCCCCGAGCAACAAGTAAACCGTAAAAACGATATTGTTTGGGTACCGACCAACCTTTACAAGTCCGCCACGTCGTTTCGCCGGAGAAACGTTCGAGTCAGTCAAGTATTACATACAACATACACAGTCGTTATTGATTTATATTTTATTACGATATTAATACGGACGTTACATAGGTGGTGTGCTTTTTTACGTTATTGATATCTGCTCGATACGAACGCGATCCGATTCCGTATCGCTACATCATCGTTTAATTTTTTTCGTCTCGGCGTTTTAATAATTTTTTTATCGACCCAGTATTACATTGATTTTGTATTGTTATTCTTACTTATGATAATCCACAACAATGTGTTATGGTTTATAATTAAAAAAAAAAAAAAATTGAAATCGATCGTTCAAATATTATTAACATCTATTGGTAAATTATTATTGAGATAAATTTTTATTGTTCAGCTGTATACTTCGAAAATTATTATATTCACTAGATTTTGTAATTTAAATGTACTTTTTTTTTTTAAGATTTTTACCTATACTAAATTAATTATTTGAAATAAATATAATATTATTCTGATATTTTAATTTTCTAAGCAATTTTTAATTAGTGAATTTATTATTAAGATCGAAAGAAAATTTTTATAATACATTTTTTTCCTTATAAAATATTATGAATATTTATTTAAATTTAATCCCTAATATAAATTTTTTTAAATTATTTTGGTAAATTATTTTACCAATGAAAATTAAATAAATAACAATACAAATAATATTTTAAAAAATAATATGATTATTGATATATATCTTTTTTTAATCCTTTTTTCGGTGATGATTATTTATTATTTTTTTTTTTTGTAATTTAACGATATTATTATATTATATTAAAAAAATTAAAGAATTATAAGAAATAAATCCTACTATTTATGTAGTTAAAAAAATATCCACAAATTATAATACAGTTTAAGCTGCTATTCATTTAAAAATAAAATATCTTTAATTTTTTTACTTGATTACATGTAGGTACTGTCATTTATTAGTTATAATTTAAAATTTAAAAATAATAAAAATAAATGCAAAAATTACATTTATTTTACTTAAAATAATTTTTTATTTAAAAATTTAATTAATTAAATTAAATTAAACTTAAATTTAAAAATTTTATTCGACTTTCAAAAACCGCTTGTGAAAAATTAGATACCTCACTATTGGTGAGGTATCGTAAATGTATTATTTTAAATTTTATTTAAACACGGATTTTTGAACAACGAATAAAAATACAAACGTTAACCAACCTTACAATAAACAGCTTCTTAAAGTAGTCGATTGATAGACAGTAGTAAACGATATGAAATATTGACAACAGCTAGTCCGCAGTTCGTCAGCGAAATGCAAAAGGATGGGTATGGT